ATAATATAAGAATATAATAAGTAATATAATACATAATACTAAGAAATACAGTATTTTAATTATAGAAAAAAAAATAATTTTAAAAAAATCAAAAATTTCGTTTAATTAAAGTCACTAATGACAATTGATGTTATAGACTATAGTTTGGTGATTTAGAAGAGGGAAAAAGTGGAAAAATTAATCATAAAATTGGGAAGAATAAGTTGTGTTTTCTTTTGGTTGTTTGAAGAAATCAGTGCAAACATTTTCTATATTAACGGTTGGTTGTCACAAGACGATTTTCGATCTCCTCTCAACAAGAAAGATAGCAAAGAACCGTTGATTATTGAAAGACGTATTATTTCGCCATGGCCAGACACAATTTTGTTTTCTTCTTTATCCTATTTTGAAAATCGAAACTTTTATCAACGACTTGCCAACTTACCATTAATCTTATTTTTTCACTCTTTATATATATATATCAATACGTTTTTCTAAGGTTGTTTCTATATAATCAATATCGGAGGACAATTTTGCGCTTGAGGTATGTGACACATTTTATTCGAAAATGTCTTTTCTTATACAAAATAAATAGAATTTTTTTTCAAATTGTTTTATCTTTTTTTTTTCTTTTGCATCTTATATTATTTTCACTTAAGAAATTGTTTTACAATGTTAAATTCGTCACTGCATTTACCAAAAAATTGTTCATCTTACATAGACTCTACTATAAAAATATTATTATAAAATGCTTTATATTGTAAAAAACATATGGTTTTAATAAAATTTTAAGTGTTTTAATGATAAATAATTGATTTTATTACTACTTATTACTTTCAGCTACTCGAATTAATAATTATATATACGTATATTTAAGTACTTGTATGTGCAGGTTATATAATGAGTCTTGCAAGTGGTATCGATGAAATTTTGAGGAATTAACATGTCAAATGAATAGAACACGAACGTGTATTACATAACAGTAAAGAGTGATTGTATCAACAAAGTTATAAACCGTATCAAAATTATAGTTTGATAGCAAACGAGCCGTATAGAAAATGTGCAAATGAGCTAACAAAGTCATTGAGGGAAACCATGTATATAACTGTATAATAACAAGGTTTGTAACTTAGAAAATATATTATAAACTTGGAAGCTTGAGCACTAAATTTGTAAACATATTTAGGTATGCTCGTTTAGTTACGATGATTTAATCGAGCTTAGAATCTATGCAAAGAGTAATTTGTTAAAGAGTCCATGGCAATTCCTGGATACTTTTGTAACTTATACTAACGATCACATATGTTATATAAATTTAATTATCATGATAATGGAACTGTTTCCTTGTGCATTAACGTTAAAATGTATCGATTCGCTTATATAGATAGTGGGTTTACATGCAATTCTCGTAAAGTCTGAGTTGTGTATGGCTATCAGCTTGCCAACCTCTTCTCGTATACAGATAACAGAGTAGGTTATTTTCCACCACTCAAAGAAATGTATTTAATTCTAGATTTTTCTTAATTTAAAATTATTTAGTAGAATATTAAAAAAAAATCTCCATTATTTCAGTTTCAAAAGCAAAATGATCANTTTCTTAATTAAAGTGATGTTTTCCAAATATTAAATTTACATCAAAGTATTTCAGATATTTGTTTTATTGATTTATCACTAATTAAAACGAACTTTAAACCATTTATCAACTGCTCATTTTTGTATATTTGAAAGTCATTTATATGCCAGACGAATTAATTATCGAAACATGGATATAGATTAAAAGAAAAATGAAATATTAATCATGATTTTGATGTCATTACTAACTTTTAATGACGACAAAAATATAATCAATTTGACTCGTTCTGTCTTTGGTTTACGTTACTTATATAAACAATAAGTTTTAATATAACACGATGTGTTTAATCACTTTTTTTTCTATTGTATCAGTTATCAATTTCGATATCGTGATTGGTTGTTTTATTAATGCTCAATTACAGCAATGTGATTGGCTAATTTAATTTGTGCTCATTTTCGCTACCTTTTCGGCTTCACGATTGGTTAAGCTTTATCACATTTCAGTTTCCTTGTGATTGTTTTCTCAATTCAGTACCTATAAATGGTGAGGGATTGCAAAATCGACTAGGTAATGGCCTGGAGCATTCCCAGGAATTCTAAAAGTGGTTAAATTTGGTTCTGGTGAAGCGTAGAAAGACGAGAAACTATCAAATATAACTTCTTTTTTTTCCACTCTAGTCAGAGGAACAACAATTTTGAGGGAAGGCATGAACTAACTGCTCTTTGTGTGAAACCTAGACACTTCATATCATTAGTGCTTACATTATTCGCTACCCTAGGCAAACGTGAGTTTGCTAGGTTCCATTTATATAATATATAACTCATAACACGTGATACTGGATATTGTATGAAGTCTGGCTTGTGCTGGATTTCAAATATTGGACTAAGAGAAAGTAGCTGTAAATGTATATTTACCTAAAACACGAAATTGTAATTGCCTAAAACCGCCATTTACTGTTACTGTCATCATTATCGTAGCGATTAATTAAGCTTCATTTATGCTGTTACTGATTTTGATTGGTTAAACTTCATTAATAATCATTCAATCATGATTGGATGAGTTTCGTCAATGCTCAGTTTCAGCAATTTAATTGGCTAAACGTCCATTAAATATGAACTGTTAAATCAAACACCATTTAATAGACACTAATGTGTTATTCCTCATCATTAACTTCTTTCAATACAATTAACGTATCTATTATCTAATTGTCAAACTTAAAATGAAAATAACATGTATATTAATGTATCGATAAGCGATTATACTGTCAAATAATCCGTCTAGCACTGGCTAATTAGCGTGTATATTAATTAATTGCCAATCTATATTTAGGTCTATCTATCTACACATACGTTTATTACGTAGACTACGCTTGCACATTAACACTGATGACGTAGCATTAACGAATTAACTAATACATCATAATGGGTAGATACTGTATAGTATATATTTATTTTACCAAGCTTAATTAATGTCCTGTTAGTATGCATTTTAGTTAATTAGTTATTGCTTATGTCTAATGTTCCTATTTTATGTAAATGTTATACATTAGGTGACAAAAATGCATGTAAAAGGAAGCTATCAGTAATCACGAGAATGTTTCTGACCTGAAAAAACTTTCGTGGTTAAGTCTTGATGTCTATGAAGTATGTTGTTTCACGTTGTATGTCGATCAATGTGATGTTATGATGAATCGTTTTGTCTGGATTATTGCTCTATCCAGATATTTCATTCTCCAAAATTGCCTCTCTACTAGTACTTCCGTCTGAGATTTCAAAATTGTCCAATATTTTATAGCAATTTTTTACTGTTTATAACGTAAATAACTACTTAAATTTTTATATTATAAACATATAAACAGACTAACTAGCGTTATATACGCTATTTAACTCATTGTATAGCATATAAAACTTCTTTTAAATTTTATATGTGGAAATATAAAAAGCATGTAAAATTATTAATTAATATATGTTTTTAATATATTGATACTTGGCAACTATCCATTTAAATTTCACGTACATATCAATCAATATACAGATAAGATGTAGCAGTACAGTAAGTGGTTCGATGACGTTAATTTGTATATCAATACCCTGGTAACACCTGAACTAACTTTCACACTTTAACATTTTTTTTTCACATTTAAATATTAAATACAAGGCTATTATTATGTTAAACATAGTTAATTAAGTACGAAAGAACTATTATGCAAATTTATGGAGGAGTAAAAAAGGTTTATTTTTTATCTTTTCAGGGTGTTACGTTTCCAGCCATGCACGCGATGTGGGGAATTTGGGCACCTCCTTTTGAAAAGACTAAACTGGCTACATCTGCTTGGTCTGGTACTCCATTTTAAATTGTTATTTTATAAAAATTTTATTTAATTAAATTACATAATTAAGCATAAAAGTATAAATTATATACCAGTTTTTCTCTCTTATCATGGTTTGATTTAGTGTCTCCACATATATACGTGTATATTAAATGTAATAAATAATAAAATGCAATAAAAATATTCATAAAAATTTCATTTTTCTAAACTTTTCTATTGTCGAATGGTGTTCATATTTATAACTCTTGGTGCCATTTTTCAAATCGGTTGTCAACCAGTTCATTTAATCGCTGAGAAATTCTCATAAATACCAAAATTCTTATGCTGCATTTGAGCAACTTTTCTTCGTCTTCTGATAATTCATAATGATTTTCAACTTCCTCCTTCACATCATATCGAATTTATGATGTCTCTTGGGATCTTTTTTACATGACATTTATATACTTTTCTTTATCAGGTAGTTAGCTTTACCCTCCTTCTTTTCCTCCTCCTTCTCCTCCTCCTCCTACTACAACTACTACTATTATTATTATAGCAATAAAATTGGAAACAATTCACTGTCATCATCAATAAAAAATGTAATGGAATTTTATATTTTTATTGATTAAATGATACTAAATACACGTCTTAAGGATGCTTCCAATCAGAATAATATTTATTTATTTATTTAAAATACGAAGAAAGTTTAGTAAGATCTGTATAGAAGTGAAAATTTTTAAGTCGTTTGTCATTAACTACCCGTAAAATAATTCGAAATTTATTAAGCACTTTCAACTTTTACGCTACTCTTTCTTTACTTTTTTCCTTAGCTATAAATGCTTTTAAGTGAAGACATTACTGAAATTCCTAGAAGTTCTTTACATCTCGTATAATTTTGAACATTATCTTACACTCTAAAAACGAGCTATTAAACTGTGTTACTCTTCAACCATAAACACTATGAATTGTGTAAGATAAAACAATGACGTTTGGGACTAGAATTTAGTTATGAACGAATAATTTTATTCTGTTAAAGAGTTGATACTAAGTAATTTTAACAATAACATCATTGCTCTTTTGTTATTAGGTACTTTTATAGGAACGGTGGTAGCGATGCCATTATCTGGTTTGCTTGCACAACACGTCAGTTGGCAATCTATCTTCTATTGTTTCGGTGAGTATTATATTCGAGAATATACCCGCGAGAGGAAGTAGTCTAATCTCTTACAGAAGTGTTATTCCTATATCAATTCCAACCCCTAGAGTTTTAACGGAACTCATCAAAATTTAGATTATTTTGAACGTTATCTATATATATAGTATATCGCCGTTACACTCTTGTCGGATCTCAATTTATTGTTACGATACATTTAATGAATTATATATATACCTTACACTACAATATTTATACGGATATAACGGATAAAATTGGAAATTTAGAGATAAATCGAGCGTGTTTACGTGATTTCACTCTCGTCTCTCGTTAAGTTACGCTTTACAAAAGACGTTCATTCGAGTTGTACGAATGATGTGATGTTTTTTGAATTATAAACGTCATCAAATACGAATTTCAACGGATGTTGCGTACTAGAACTGATCCTTTCTTTACGGTCCAATATAATACGGTCTGACACACAATCAATCATTACCTCCCTTTTATTACCGTGCAGAGACTTTTATCGACGAGATGAGTCCTTACTCCTCGAACTGTGCAGAAAAAATATTTAATTTTTTCCTTTATTTCCGAATTATGAACATTGTGACAAATTTTATTTCTATTTTCTAGGTTCTGTAGCTATTTTATGGTCGCTGGCTTGGTTCTATCTGATTCGTGATAGCCCAGAAAAACACGAAACTATCACCTCTACCGAATTAGATTATATACACTCTACTATAGGAATTCAATTAGAAAATACCAAGGTGAGACATTTTTTTTGACAATTAAATGCACTAAAATACTAAGAAAACACATCTCTAGTGTTTGTACATCGTTTAAACCCAAAGTTCTAAGTTTAAGACCTAAAACTTAAAATCAAAGTCCTATACTTGGCTATATCTAATTATATGAAAGAAGGCAGAATTTTGTTTATTTATTTCTTAATTTTTTTTTAATTTTAGGATTTGTCTACTCCGTGGATACGCATCATTACTTCTCTACCCGTTTGTGCTATAGTTTTAGCACACTTCAGTGAAAATTGGGGTTTTTATACCATGATTACCGAGCTTCCAACATACTTGAAAGATGCACTGAATTACGAATTAGATAAAGTGAGTAGATAAGTCGAATGTAATCTTTAGTTAAAGAGAAAATTTAAAAAATAAAAAGTAATAATGAAAGTTCAAATAGTGATTGAAATTTTGATTAAAAACGAGAGGAACTAAATAATAAATTCTGTTACCAATATCTATATTGTTTATACAGGATAAGAGCATATTTAATGCTATAGATGTTATAGTGAGCAGGACTTATGAGCAAATGTTTTAAATTATGAGCATGTTTAATATAAATGATATCAATCAGCTTATTTTACATGAGCATACTTTTAAAAATATTCCTTTTAATTACTCACCAATAATAAGCTTAATTTATATGAAAGTTTTCAATAAGCTTTATAAGGATGTGTCAAAGATATACTGTACAAGTCGACCCCCCTATAACACTGTTGATAATTCCGTTTTATATGAATTTCATGTTGTAGGAGTCACTTAGATTTTACAAATACGTGTGCCGGGCTGTGAACGGCTCACGTATTTGTAAAATCTAAGTGACTCGTACAACATGGAATTCATATAAAACGGAAT